ACCTCTTAATTCCAGTATTCCATGGGATTGCATGGTCCTACAGCTGCTGATAGAATCCTCCTGTTTTCTTGAGGAGGAGAAGTTCCTGGGGGACAGGGCCCCGTTTCCTTAGCGCTTGTGCTATCAATCTCATACCTAATAGACATTCAGTAAACCATTAATGAATGGATGGGGGCATGATTTCCTGACCACAGTAGAAATATAAGTGCATACCAGTTCCTGGGAATCAACGATAGGCAAAATAATAGGGAGAGATGTGGCACAGAGCAGGGAAACAATGACTAAGATGTGGGAGAAGCAGAACCTGTATTTGGGAAAAATGAGTTTGGAGGCATTTAGGATGGAAGTGACTGCTAGGAAGAGGTATTACATGGATCATCCAATTACAGAAAGAATACCAGAAGAAAGCCTGGAGATGTTTTATCAGACTGAAGCCAAGTATCACTCAAATGTTAATGGGCTGATGTGAATGGGGCCTGCTGAAACTGAGACTAGAATTTGGGGTGTCCCTAATGCAAGGGAACAGTGTGCTGTGTGCCTGGTGGCATTATGGCCTGCTGGCTGTAAGTTTTTGCAAACTGACTTGTGGAACAATTGCAAGCTTTTAAGTTTTAAGGTCCATTCCCTCCCTCATTCCCCACCCCCCACCAAGATGCTGAAACCTGTTTGCAAAGAGAAGAGGGATTTAGTCCAGGAAGAAAGGGTAGAGCCTAGGATTTGGATAGCAAAATGGGACCAACCCAGAAAGAAAGGGAGACAGCCTTTGAAGTCTTGACGATCAAGCACTGTGGCTTAAGCACCAGACTCTTAAATCACGTGGCATTTACTGCCCCCGATTTAAGAAAAAAAAAAAAAAAAAACTTTTCTGGATCAGTGTCTGAAGCTCAAAATGGCTGGGTTCCAAAATCTGCCTTAACTTTCCAATGGCAACATTTGGACAGCTTCCTGGAAGAACCAAGTGCAGCCAGTTTCTAGAAGGGGCAGCCTAATGATTTTCTGGTCCCCTGGTGCCCTGCCCCCACCCCAGTCATTAAGCAGTATTCCTTCCCCAGAGCCCAAGTTCATGCTGAGGGCAGAGGGAATTAAATGAAGAGGCTGGACCTGCCGTTAAGATTAGAGTGCTGCCAAGGGCCTAATTTTAGGCCATAGCTGTCCCAGCTGCTGCCCTGCCCGGCTGGCTCAGCCATGAGGACCACAAGTGCGGCTGGACTGTGGTGCTGGAGTGGGAAGAGTGGCTCCCCTGGCCATCTGTGAAAGCAATCAGCCTGCCATTGGGTGTGTTTTCAGAGGGACTATCAATAATTTCTCCTCCGACAAATGTTTCTTCAGGTGTTCAAGAGTCAATAAGGGAAAATGTCAGAACTTGGCGGAAGTTCCCACATGGCTTGCCATGCTAATATTCACGCTTTTTCGCTGGAGAGTGCTCCCCCAAAAGGGAAGGGGTCCTGGAATTCCTAGTTTTTCATGGCCAATAACCCGGTGATGAATTCTCCCTGGCCCTAACGCTCGCTGCCACAACCTACAGAAAGTGCTGTTTGGAATTCTCAGCTTGATGAGAATGGATGCGCATGGATGGGTCAGTTCCTTCACTTGGGGAGGAGGGCTATGTAACCCTGCTTGCAGCAGAATTCAAGCTGTCCTTCCACTCTCTGCAGATTTCCCAGTCACAGGTTTCATGCTTTAATTGTCTTCTTCAGAGGGCAGACAATAAGAGCTGGCATCTTTCAGATCAAAGGGGGAAACAGAATATATTTTAAAGTGACAACTCTGTTATCCCGCAGCCAGAATAATAAAACGATGTAAATATAAGCCCCTAAATGAGTCCATGCTGAAATGCTACCTGGGAGTGAAACCTCCTGCACAGTTACGACAAGGTCACACCCCCTGAAATCACTCACAGAACACGCCTCTGTTTGGACAGTTCTTATGCCTGGGATGGGCCACGCAACCATGGAGACGCTATACCCTTGCAGGTTGGCAACTGTGATCATGGCAGGTGCTCTCTGTAGGCAAAGTAGGTGCTTGAGGAAATGCTCCCTGGGGCTGGCAGAGCAGGGAATGCCTCAACCTGCAACACTGGAATCCCCTGTGGGTGCTGGTTCAACTCCCGGCTGCTCCACTTCTGATCCAGCTCCCTGGGGATGTGCCTCAGAAAGCTGTGGAGGATGGCTCAAGTGCTTGACCCCCTGCACCTACATGGGAGACCCAGATGAGACTCCTTGCTCCTGGCTCTAGCCTGGCCCAGCACTAGTCCTTGCTGCCATGTGGGGAGTAAACCAGCAAATGGTTTATTTTCTCTCAGTCTCTTTCTCTCTCTCTCCTTTATTTCTGCACCTCTGCCATTCAAATAAATCAATCAGTCATTTCAAAACATGCCCATTGTCAGGGGCAATGAAAAAGCAGGATGGCACTGCCAAGCCACGGTGATGTGTCCCAGGAGAGAGTGCAGGCTCATAGTGAGGGTCCCTGCCATGAGGGTACACACACTGGCCCTGGCAGCATCTCTGTCTCTCTTCTCATTTTCTTTGCAATTTTGCTGGTAGCTTTGCTTTTCCTATCGCTTGTTCTGTGTCCTGTGAACCTATTTCTCTCCATACTTCTGCAGCCCTCCCCATACACATGCACACACGTGTGTGCGCGCACGCAGACACACTCACATCCACATTGCATCCGCCCGCCCCTGTCTCTTGGCACCAGCTCTTTCATCTTCTCCCTCAGGGACTGGAGATGTCGCTGCAGGAAGTGCTTGTCCGCCGAGGCAGCAGCAGCGGAGCCCTGTGGCTTTGACAAACCTCATTTAATTGGGAGGAAGCCAGGAGAATTTGAAAGAACTGAAACATCCACGAAACTCCTTTTATCAGGCATAATTTAAACTCTGCATGGAAAAACCCCTATATGTATAAAGAAAAGTCAACTTCCCTCCTGCTGTGAGCACTCCTCAGCTCCCCCCCTCCAGCACAGGCAGGCTGCTGTAAGATTCCATCTTTTCATTTTTCTAAAAGTGTCAAAGTAGATTTGGGCTCTGGGGCTGTGAGAACAGGGAAAGAATACAGATGTTTCTGGCTCTCACCCATGCGTGTGAGCTTGCACACACAGACACAGACACACATATGGGTATACACACACACACACACACACACACACTGGAGTCTCTCAGTAGTCTTGTTTGCCGGCCACTTGGAGGAATCCGACCCATTGCTCAGCACACATCAGCCTGGACAGTTGATCGCTTCTCCCTAATTACCCTTCGTTAGGCAAAGCTGGAACCCAGAACACTCTGCAGCTTGCCAACCCTCTCAGTCTGCAGAATAATAGAGCCTGGAGGAGAGCTGGTAGAAGTTTACTTAAGTGGCAAAAAGGATGTGTGTGTGTGTGTGTGTGTGTGTGTGTGTGTGTGTGTGTGTGTACCAACCAAATGTGAACACTTGTGTGAAGTGGCAGTGCCAGAAGTCTCAAGCCCAGGAGAAGAAAGCTAAGAAGGCTCTGCTCCATCTGGGAAAGGACAGTTGGGAGGGGAGGGGAAAAGGGAGGGGGAGGTGCAAGCAGGGGCCTGGGCATCAGGAGGGGAGAGAGACTCTGCCAGCCACGCCTTTTATTCCTCCCTCCCTTTCACCTTGTAAGGCCCACTTGGGAGTCCCCTGCAGTCTGATCTGGCTCTCTGGCTCTCTGGAAGGGACTGGATTCCCTGCAAAGTGCTGGGCATGCATCACGCTCTCTGGACAGCTGCAGCCCACGACACCCAGCCTTGGACTGCTGAGACATGATTTGTGCTAAAGTGTGTGCATGGGTACCATGGCTCCTCTCTCTCGCCCTCTTTTCCGCCCACCCCATGAGATCCTGGGGGCCCAAGACAAGTCTCTTGTTTTCCTCAACGTTTTATGGCACTTTATGTGTTCTTGACACTTCATGGCAACTTAATAAATTCTAACGACTGGCTCTTCATACCAGGTTAAGTAAGACATTAACCTCTGTTATATGATTATGGTTATTTTTGGAGATCTGAAATGACTCACTCAAATAATAATAAAATACCTCCACGAAGCCCAAACAATGGGCTTTGGACTAGTGCAGGCGAGCGTACTAGACAGGGTGCAGCTGCTCTGCAGGGGCTCCTTGTCCTACCCCCTTCCCCCACCATCTTCCATCCTCCCTCCACCAACCATATTGAACCCCCTCTTCCCTGCCTCTTTGCCTCCCATCCCAGCTCCTCTTCCCTCCTATGAATCCTACAAACTGTTTTCCATTGAATGCTAGATGTTCTCAAAGAAACCCCACCAAAGGCTAGGGTTCCCCCTGCCTCCCCCTAAACACAGCCTTGCCTGCATTGCACCGCCCACATCCTCCACACAGCCCTTCCTGCCCACATTCTCAGAATACAAGGAGAGCTCCGAATCACGGGATCTCTCAGACTGCAGATTTAGAGGATGACTTTAGGCCTCGGGCAGCCCAGCTCCCCAGGGCTGGGTAACTTGGGCTTCCCAGTGGGCGGCCAGCCTGGGAGGATGCCGCCCCTCCCCCAGCACCCCGCCTCAGCGGGCACTTCCTTCTGCAGCGTCGTGTTACCAATCAAGAAGGCCCAGTTCTCCTCTCGTGACATATCCGTGTCACCTATCAGCTTACTCTTGATGGAAAGGGAGAAGGGGCTTGTGAGAGGCTTTGGTTTGGCTTCCCCTGGCAGCTGCTGGCTAAAGTAAACAACAGGGAGGCAGCTTCCAGTCTCATGTGCCCTGCTTGCATTGTAGCCCCAAGGGTCCTTGTCCCCTTCCCCCAACCCGTGCTCAGGAGTTTTCAGTAACTCTTCCATAAAACTCAGGCAAGATCGGGTTCTGTCTTCCTTCTCCCAAGAAATTCCACCTCCAACTTTATTTCCAGGTGCAGATTTTAGGATTTTTTTCTGGTGTTGAGGAAAAAAAAAAACACCCACTTGGGTTGCCAAGACATTGCACATAGTTGCCAGTCCACATATGCATGTCCGTGTGCACACATGCGCCTCCACTCACCATCAGGAAGCTGGTACAGCTGGGAGGGCAGCACCCTGAAATAATCGTGTGCAAGTGCTTCCTGGGCTGAGACACGGTCTCGGGGAAATCCCTTGAGCATTTGGGAGGCCAGGTCTTCCGCTTCTGGTGCCTTGCCCAGCCTGGAAAAGAGGGATAGAAAAGGAGGGTTTCTCCAGGGGTCGCTCTTCTGAGAAATCTAGGTGGGAGAAAGGGAGACCCAGAAAGAGATAGAAACTTAGAAAGGTGTTCCAAGGAGAATTTTCCCTGGCATGACTAAAGTGGAGAGGGGACTGCATAGTGGGAAAAGAATTCCCACTCTGAATGTCTTACCTGCCCTGTGATTAAAAGGAAGGCACAAAAATCTCAGTGCTCAATGCCTGGCTTCCAGCCCTCTGTGCTGTCTCTCAGCACAGAGCGCATGGGAAAGGCATAACAGGAGCATTACAGATGCACACACGTGCTATCATGGTTTCTCCTTGCAGGGATGCAGCAGCTCCAAACAAGGAAAAGACTGATGGACTGCATGTTCCAGGCTAGGGACCTAAGGACAGTACAGAGTTCCGGAAAGGGAAAAGGAGAGAGACGAGCTTCCAGAGGGTGATGCCTGGGTGGGAAATAACCTCCCCAGCAGCATTTCTGGAGTTTACTTCCCACCACTGTTAACATTTCCTCCCCCCGACCTTGTGGGAGCTCCTCCTGAGATGGAGCAGAGGAGAGAGATCATGAATTCTCCCAATTCCAGGAAGGACTACTCCTCAAGTTGATTTGGAAGGTGGTTGGCTCTGGAGGATGCAAGGCAAGACTGTGCCCTGGTGGCCTGAGCCAGTGGAGGGGTGAGGAGCCCTTTGTACATGACCACAGCCAAGTCCAGTCACTAAGGCTCTCTAAATGCACCCCACCTAATCAGCAATGTGATTAGGATTAGGGGTGGTCCCTTCAGAGCTGATTAGCGCAGGAGGTGGAGGTCTCATGAATCAGATTAGTGTCTTTTACAAAAGCCACTCGTGGCACCCTCCCCTTCAACCACATGAAGACACGGCAAGACAGCATCTGTGATGCCAACACAGCCTAGCCAGACACTATGCTCACTGATCACGGACTTAGGAAGAAAACAATTCCCTGGCTGAGGAATTTTGTTGTAGCTACCAGAACAACACAGCCTTGGGATGCAAGTTCAGGGATAGCTCTCTGGAGGAAACAGCATTTGAGCTGGGAGCTGCAGTTCTAGGGGCAAGCATTGCCTGTAGAATTCTTCAATATTCAGAGGGGAGTGATGGAGTAGAAAAGAGAATTAACAGAGAATGAAGGCTCCTGGATTGGCCTTGGATTAAGAGGTGGAGCAGAGGTGGAGGTGGTTGGGGAGGGTGGCAGGAGCTTATCCTTCAGGCCTGTGGGTCTTCATGGTCTCTACTTACAGGTATTTGAAAGCCTTGCCAGTCACTCCAGGTCATCCATTTGCACCACCCATAGAGAAGATTACAAGTGCGAACCACAAGAGTTGCAATGAGGCAGATCCTGGAAGGGCCCCACGGGACATGTTTGCCATTCCAAATTAAGGTGCACAGTCATGAAGCACCTTAGCACATCCTCAGTCAAGCAAAATAGATGGGTTGACTTAACGTCAAATATCCCAGAGGAGAGCAGGGAACAGCAGATAGTGCTTACCTTTCCAGGTACCAAAGTGCAGGGATGTTGGGAGAGCTGGCCTAGAGTTGTGATTTGGTAAGATTTACATACGATTTACATAATAAACTTTTCAATGTTTGAGTCCCAGCACATAAAACTATTTCTGCAGGCAAACCTTCAAATTCAGGAGTAATTGCTTCCTAGACAATTTGGAGAAGAAAGCCCCAATCCTTAACCTTATTTCCAGGCCAGTTAGGAGGGCAAGGAAGCTGGGTGGAGGGATGCTCATGAACAGAAGAAAAGTCTAGCAGGTGTATTCTCCCTGTCCAGTATTTTCAGGTGCAAGAGGTAAGGGGTTGGAGGGGGAAAGTTAGTACAAATCACTAGAATCCAATGTTTGTGTGGCAAGAGACTCAGGGAAAAGCCCCTGAAACAAAACTGTAGCTGGCCCACCCATGTGATTGGGTGTGTGCCAAAACTGGAGCCCAAACCCACTTTCTGCAGCCTTACAGGCTTTCTGGTTAAATATAAATTTCTGGGATTTGGGGAAAGTGGTAGGTGGTGAGTGGGGGCAAGGTGTCTGCCAGCAATTGCCATGACTTCCCTTTACCACAGTAATAATGGCTTAGAACTGCTCCTGAGACAAGGTTTGGGACTGCAATCTGAACTTATTTTCATTTGGATCTTATTTACACAGGAATCTGGGGAAGCCAGGAGAGACTGATGGAGATATTGCAGGGACTCCCTTTCTTATAAGAAGTGCAAGCAAATGAGAGCGAAAAGAGGGTCAGAGCAGGAATAGGAGAATCTCTCTTTAGGATTTTTCACCTAAAACTGAGCCTCCCCCAACACTTCCACAAAGCTTCTAGCAGCTTCAGGATTTGCTTCAGTTTCCAAACGCTCCTTTATACCACTTCTCCTGCTCCATGGCTGGCAGAGGTGATGACGAGGGCAAAGTGTGTGGAGGAGGTGCTTCCTCTGGGAGTCAAGTTTATGTAGAAGCTAAATCCATATCCTCTGGCACCTGGGGTTCCCGGTAGGATCTGCAGCAGGCCCACAAATCCTGACCCTTGGCAGGTGTCCTTGGACTTTTGTTCTTACTTTTAGTATGGTGCCATCCTCTCTGGGGGTTAAGAGCCCCAGGGACACCAGTGCATTTCTGAGCACACGTGTTGATTTATGGACACCTTCCACACTGAGTTCTTTCTCCTTCTGCTATCTATGGTCTTGCTTGCTAACCACTACCTTTAATCTCATATTCCCACCCTTTGCCACTACATCAAATCTTTCTAGCACAATTCTGCATTGGTTAGCATCCCTACTTGGGAAAGGAGAGTTGGCATGAAAAAAATTAATATGGTACATGTTAATTTGCCTCCTAGGGTTGTTCCATTTAGATAACATGACAACAATGCAAACCTGGTGAAACTTACTGAACATGCCAGCAGTATCTTATAGTTAGGAGAATCCTCCCATCCAATCAGTGTGTGTGTGTGTGTGTGTGCGTGTGTGTGTGTGTGTGTGAAAGCAAAGAATCCTGGGATGCTTGTGATAGCATTTCGAGGAGAGATATTCCATGGCCAATATAACATGTGTATATTGTAGAACATTTAGAAAAATATCCAGAAAGAAATATATATCCCACCACATGAAGATGACCTCCTTCATGCAAAAATAATCACTACTATTTTGGAAGTTCAAGTTACATGTTGTTTTAGGCTGCTTTTTCCACATCTTCCACATCATCAACATCTTCCAGTGACTAGGATGCGGTTTTAGTGACTACATCACACTCAGTTATGTGAGCACACCCAAATCCGCACAGCCAGGGCCTTTTTATGAGCTGTTTCCTTTTTGTTGGGGTTAGGTTAGAAAAGTACTATTCAAATCACACTGCACCAACTATCCTCAAAGAAAAATATTTGTGTGATTATGCGATTGTTTCTTTAGGACAAATTCTTAGAACTGAAACTTCTTGGATTCACACTATTCTCTAGAAAACTTGCAGCAATCTCCTTTTCTGTGCTCTGTCTCTACAAGTTATCCAGGATAACAAGTTCAATCCACTTCAGCCAATGTGAATTGCCATGGGCCACATGGTTTATGAAAGTCATAAGAAGGATTAAAATTGTGCAGTGAGCCTAAAAGATGTGTTAGATGCTATCTGTGATTTAAAAATTTCAGGATCCAGACACAAGCAGGAAGGAAGAAGGAAAGCCAGGCTTTGTGATTGCATGAAACACTATCTACTAATCCAACACTACACATCTGCTCTCTGGTGGTTCTCAGGAGTCCAAGGCAATCGAGCCAACCATTCTAATTTCTTCACACAATCTGGCTCTTCCATTCCCATGTTGCTCTTGGCCTGTGTGGTGCAGACTGAGGCTGCCACCTTGGAAAACAGAGTTCTGCATTTTTCCTCTAGAAAGAGAAGAGCAGATGTAGAGTCTGCACTTCCTAATGCCCTCAGGTGAGGATGAGATAGACACCATGACAAGAAATGCAGTACAGTCAGCTTTCTGGATTTGTTGATTTTGCATCTGGAAACTCAACCGTGGATCGAAAATCTTAAAATAAAAATGTATCTATGCTAAAATGTATAGGCTTTTCCTCCTTGTCATTGTGCCCCAAACAACAGAGTTTAGCAATTATCTGCATAGCAATTACATGATATGGGTTAGATTAGTAATCCAGAGTTGACTTAAGGAATATGGAAGGATTTGTGCAAATGTGAGCTCATTTGTATCAGGGACTTGAGCATCTGTAAGCATTGGGTTTTCTGTGGGAGGTGGCAGTGCGACTGCCTACACATCCAACACCAAGAAGAAACAACCCAGAGAAGGTGTTCTACAAGGTGCCTATTTAAATGTTGAGTGTGCACCTCTTAGGGCCATGGTAAAGAGGTCACCATGGAACCTGCAGCGTGACCCTGAGATCCATTCACAGGGCTTGACTCTATTGCACCCCTGAAGGAATGGTGGAGAAAAGCCAGCATTACTCCCCCACTTGCCATCTGAATCAACTGGCAATCCACCAACAATCCTGCCCCCACCACTAACAGTTGGACAATCCTGACATGTTACTTAACTTCTTTGGGCCTTAGCTTCCTCCTCTTTGTCACAGGAATGCCTTCTATAAGGGTGGAATGTGACCATACTCACATATGCAGTGCTCTGCTGAGCACATGGTGCACCTAATACTAGCCTCCCCAACCCCCCCAGGGCCCTTTGCCGAGCTCAGCACTTTCTGCTGTGCTAACCTAGGCCAACACTCGCACATCACTTCAAATCTTGGAACTATTCTGTTTGTGCCCTGTCCAATGCAATAGCCACTACTTGCATGTGGCCATTGAGCCCTTGGAAGGTGACTAATGCAAATGAATGACTGGATTTTAAATTTAATATGAAATGATTTAAATGGCGACTGGAGTGATTCATTGCTTTGAAGACCTGAACTGAGAGAAGCCACAAGTCTGAGCCTAAGTAAATTGAAATTGCCAGAAGCAAAGGAACATATAGAGGAGGTGGGGGTCACCGGGCCAGAAAGACCAGAGGGATATTCAGAGGAGTTCAAGTCCTGCTCAGGCCTAGAAGGAAGGGCTTGGGGGAGCAGAGCAGGAGGCTGGAGGCTCTGTCTTCTGCTGCTGGGCAGTGGCAGCAGGAGCAGCATAAGGTGGAACTGTGATTTGCAGGTTTGGGATGATCTAATTTGGAAGCCAAGAGTAAAATGATGCACTGACATCCAAATCTCTCCAACTCAGTATCAAGGAGTAAGAGTTGGCACATCTTGCCTGAAATGATGAACAGCAGTTCCCTGGTACCTGTCTCCAAATTAGGGGGGAGAAGGGTTCAAGTTACCCAAGTATAGTGCATGTGTAATAAGGGCGGGGCACACTGACACCCTGGAGGACTTGTCCCTCTGGGTTAGAGGCTTTAGGTTGCCCATAGATCCCCAAGTCCCACTTATTTCCTTGTTTGTGTCCTGGTAGCCACACCACAGTGTGAAGGCCTTGCCAAGCATGTCAGTAGTGGGATGGAGAATGCGAACGAGTCTGGGTGAGGTTGCCTCCACCACATTTCCTGGCCAGGATGGCTCCCGTCACATGCTCACTTGGGATCCTGGCCCGGGAAGTCCCTCCCCTCCCCACCTGCGCAAGTGTGTTTTTCTTTGACATTTGAGCTCATTTCTCCTGTCTCTGATGTTTTTCCCCCACTGCCCTGTTTGCCTCCTCACTGAAGCAAAAAGAACAGAGCCTTGGCTAATTACGCTTAGATCAAATAATGCTGGTTATTGTAATTGGTCACTGTCCGAAAACACTGGAGTTCTTCTGCACCCCGAGGTTGCCTGGAATGGCTTAGTTAGCTAACTATTCCCGGAATGTCTCTATTATCTGTTTTACTTTGCAAAAAGAAACTAGGGATTTGTTGAAAGCTGGTAATAAAAGTCTGCCCTGGTCTGAGGGGAGACAGCGTAGAGAGGGCCTGGGAAAGCATGACCTCCATGAATCAAGTCCCCCCTCCAATGGCCACTCAATGAGGTTATTGGGTTTCTCTGTGTCAGAGAATAATAAACCCACTAGGTTTTCTTGCAGGCCAACTCAATCTCATTCTCAGAGCCTGGGGCATGGCTGGGGGGCTCAAAATGATTTTAATGACCAAACTCATTGCAAGTAAAATGGTTCCTAGAAGAAAACGAACAGACTCCCTCCATCCCAGGGAAATGACTCTGGGATCCAGAGCCTCATGCCCAGGCACTTAAACACTGCTGTTCAGGGAGATGTCCCTCCAGCTTGCTTAACTGTATCCTTCCAAAGCAATGCTCACCTGTCGCAGATGGTCTGTAGGCTTTGAGGTTTCGGTGCTGGAAACCATTCTGGAAAGCACACAAAGAAACCATTCATTAACAAACAAAAACCAAAAAACAACCCTAAAGTCTTGTTGTCAGAAATGTGATTAAAATCCCAAATGCTCCTCTTGGCTCGGGGTAAAGAAGGAGCAGGGGTCCGCTAGTGTCCTCTAAGGCCTTGTCTCCTTAGCTTTGGCATTTGGTGAAAGGTTGCTACTGTGAGATGAACCATGTGTTCCCCCCAAATCCTGGCCCCACAAACTTCAAACGCTTCTTTGGAAACAGCATGCCACAGCAGATACAATTACTTTAGATGAAATCCTGAGGTTGACCCAATTCGATGGGCAAGATCATGAGAAAGGAAGAGGCCATGAATGCACAGAGCATGGGGTATCTAAAGCCAAGCGAAGGCCCAGAACAGACACTCCCTCACGGCCCTTGGAAAGACCCCGTTCTGCAGACACCTCCGTTTTACACCCCCCAGCTTCTAGAACTATGAGTCAAAAAATGTTCAGGTTGTTTATGCCACCCTCCCCTTAAACTTAAAAAGTGGAACTTTGTGAGGACAACCCTAGCAAACCAGTAATAAAGACAGGTCTAAATGTTTGTGGGAAAAGCCAAATTCAAAAGATAAATTTATGCTGATGCAAAAAAAAAAAAGAAACCATACACAGGTTTTCATGATATGCATTTTCCCATGAACTTTTGAAGACTCCCCCTACTACAGCTGAAAGTTTCAGAGAAATCAACCTTTAGCTAACGCCTACAATGGAGAGCAGGAACCAAGTGCTGGGGAGAATATAAAAGAAATCTGCCCCCTCACCCCCCCGCCAGAGTTTGCAATTCCTTTGGGAGAACAAAGTAGACACACTTGCATGATGCGTCATACTACCACGTCTCAAAGGCTCAGACAGGGGACAAGGAGACGGGGCTAATTTTAGGTCACTGGAAGTAAAAATGGGAATGAATTCTGGTTTGACTAATCCAAAGAGAATGATGATAAAAATTAGAACTGTCATGGGAACACTCTACAACACTGTCATTTGAGTACATCTATTTCTATCGTTTGTGATGTTGACATTACTAACCCACTATCTAACCCAAACTGAACTCATTCTGAAAGGGAATAGACTTACTAAAAAATACGGGTCGGATGGCTTTCTCTGTGTAAGGCTGCCAGAGGGGCTATGGAAGAAGTGGGTGATGCCACCCCTTCCCCAAACTCCTCTTCTTCCCACCCTGCACCCAGCTCTTGTACAAACAGAACAAACCAAGACTTTATCACATCCAAAAGTGTATTTCATAGTTGTGGGCAAAAACCTGTTTTGGTAATATAGACATGTTAGTTTTGGTTTGTACGGAGAAAGATTTCTCAGTGGTTGGTGATGATGCCAACAGGTAGTCAGTCTTCCTACTTCTATGCTTATCCTCACATGATTTCATTATTTGAGGGAAAGCATATGTAACCAGTCTTTCCTATCAGTCCCTAATTCCTAGGTTCTGTGTTCAAAGATTTAACCAATTGGCTGGGGGGAATGAATCTGGGCTAAGCAGGTGTAAAGTTTTTCTTGCCGTCAATCCTGAAAACAATACACAATGGCAATTTACATAGTATCCACATCCTGATAGGTTTTATAAGTAGCCTGGTGATCATTTAAATGACCCAGGAAGATCACTCAGATCCATAGATTATGTGCAAAGTCTACACCATTTATCTAAGGGACTTGGGCATTTATGGACTTTGGTAACCCTGGAACCAACCCTCTGTGGACAGCAGGGGACAAGACCATATTACTTTGAAATTTCAAAAGTAAGTTCAATTAAGAGTTGAATTTATAGTACTAAGAGTTGTAGGGTGAAAGGAGTGATCAAAGAAAGCGATTTAAGTTGTTTCCAAGGTCAGATGCAATCAAATGTGAACCATTTTGTAGTCCCAGGTGGGTATTAAGAAAAGCACTTATGTATACCAAGTTATTTACTTTCTGTTAAGTTTGATTTTGTCTAAATTTAAAATAGTTTGTAAAGATAAGAATAGTGGGCATTTGTTTTGTATGTTTACTTCCAAGCCTCTTTCTGCTGCTTGTTTACAGTTCTGCCCTGACCAAGCAAAATTAGGATATCTCCTCATTCTGTCATTTTCCAATTTCCAATCAGCATAATGAAATCCATTTCAATCCTCTTCTGTTTTCTTTCTTTCCCTTCTTAGAGCTCTACATGCTATGGGTTCTTTGTTCCTTTCTTTTTGACGTTTAGTATTTTTAAGAATTAACTTATTATTAGAGAGAAAGAAGGGAAGGGAGTGGGGTGAAGAGAGACCACTCCTATCCACTCTGCTTCTCCCCAGATGCCTAAAACAGCTGGAGCTGGTCCGGACTGATGCCTTTAGCTAGGAGCCACTTTAGGTCTCTCATGTGGGTGGCAGGAACCGAATCATCTGAGCCATCACTGCTGCTTCCCACAGTCTGCATAAACAGGAAGCTGGAGTCAGGTGCCAGAGTCAGGAAGCAAACTTGGGTACCCTGATTCAGGATGTGGGCATCTTAACCAATGTCTTCATCGCTAGGCTAAATGCCCACCCAGGCTTTCCAATACTACTTCTAACTTTGTTGTTGTTCTTGTGAAATCTGGGTTATAACTGAATTAGCTACTGATGGATTTGAGGTTCAGTTGAGGCCTGAATGACATCAGCCCCCAGGTTCCTTCACCCAAATTGCAGGTTGGAGTCACCCCACAAGGATGCCACCGAAACAGTTCAGTGACTTAAGGAATCAAATGTGCCTGCTTCAGCATATTCAACAAAATAAAGCCAATTAGCATTTCCCTCCTCCGTTCCTTCCCTTAGGAAGCAGTGGGCAGTCTAATCGGCCTGGTAATACACTTGAACCCTGGATCCAGGTTTTGAATCCCTGCTGTGCCACCTACCTGTTGTGTGACCTGCAAGTGGTGCTGCACCTTACTGGGCATCACTTTTCCCCTCTGCACAAAGTGGCTAATTGCAGTTCCTGTCGCACAGGGTTGTGAGAACCAGCCTCAAAGTGATGGGCCAAGCATTTGCTCATTGACTGTCATTTTCCTGCCTCGTTCCTTCGCCAAGTGTCACAGTTCTCTCTGCTCTGAGAGGATTGCTGCTTCCTTGACATCTTTAGAAACCTTCTGTAGCTGTTTCCTTCTCCTTAACTTCTAACTGCTCCAAGCTCCTGTTCTTAGAAATCTGGTTTAATTTGTTCTGTATGTTCTGTGTGTGGGTGAGAGGTGTGTTTCCTAGCGGAGCGATATAGTAACATAAACACATGCCCAGGCTCTGATTTCCCTTCTGCTTCTTATGAACTCTGGGATTTGGAGAACATCGCTTAACCTCTCTGGTTGAGTAACAGAGAAAGTTTCCAAGTCTGTAAAATGGGACTCATTTTCCTAGCCGTTAGGAGGATTAGGGAAGATGGAGCAGCTGGCACATGGGGCTGGCACTCCATGGATGTTAGTCTCAGGCTTCTCCTCCCTTCCTGCTCATACTTCTCATTTTTGCAAAAGTAGCATGATCTAACAGTGGCTTTCAACCAGAGCTGCCTAAGAGCCTCACCTGGGGAACTTGCACAAGCAGGGCAGGCCTGGCTCCACCCCTGTGTGCCTGATTTTAATGGACCTGGGGAGGGTCCAGGCATTGGTTAGCTGCTGTGCTGTTACTTTGTCCTTAATGGTCTCCAGATGTTTTCAGGCAGGAGCTAAGACAGAGAAACGGCTGGCCCAGAGCAAGGGCAGGGCCAGACCTCGCAAGCAACCACACATCTTGGGGGCTCTTTTCCTCCAGTGAGGTTGTTGTGAGAATTCTGTTCTTCAATAAAATGAAAATTAAGGAACACAGGGTCTGACACGTGCTGCACAGGTCGCTCAAGGATGTGAATGAGGAAGTAACATCAGGGAGAGGAAATCTGTTTTCATATTTTCGCCCGGGACCCAGGAGGATCTGCATTTGGGACTCGGGATTGCATGCTTGCGATCTGCAGATTTGTGCTGTCCTTGCCCTCCACTATCTGTTTTGTAGCTACATGAGCGGAGATAACGGGGGTTTGATGTGTGCAGGATCCACCAGGGAGCTGCTGGGAGGCTGAGCCTAAGCCCAGGGCTTGTTTGTGGCCACCCTCCCACTCCGATGCAGATAGCCTGCTGCTGAATGACCTTGACTCTCTCCCATTGATTTTTCCCAGTAGTTAAGCTGCAAGCGATCAATGGGAGAATGATCCACAAACAGATAGGCATTTTACACAGCGCCATTTCAAGAGGAGGCTGCTCCTCTGGCTTTAATAGCTCTAAAAATAATAGGGCTGGAGGTAGTTTGTTTCCCTTCTCCTTCCAAAGATGATAGTAAATCATTACACCAGACTTTTCTCCCTCTCCTCCCTTGGCAGTTCTCTTTAAAAGAGCTTTCATTTGAGTGCAGTTGGAATTCAAGGCAGGAAAAACTATGGACGAGGCGAGGAAATCTAAAAAGGCAGAACATCTTAATTTCCAAATGAAGCAGAATGAAATAAAGACAAGGGTGGAATGGGTACTAGCATTGTAAAAATAGTGCATTTTTCATAAATGTTTAATAAAGCTCATTTCACAAATGACTCATATGGTAACAGTCAATAGAGATTTGTTGATGGATTGATAAAACATCCCAGGACAATTTTGAGTCTTAGCTTAAGGTAAAACATTTTCTAGTTGCTATAGTCTTGCCACGATCACCATCACCCCAAGGTTATCTTGTAGTGTAGTCTACTGAATTCCATCTCTGGAATTTCCTGAATACAATGCATTCTTGAGATACCATATATTTAAATAGTTGATAATGTTGTTAGGCTCATTTTGCTATCTCAAGTAGTAACTTTAAAATGGCACTGCAAAAACTCTGTAGCTCTGTCTCTTCCACCTGCAGCTCACCCTACTGGGAACACACACACACTCATCCCCTCCCTGCAGCTGGCATCACTTTCTCAAGGAACTGACACAGAAGCTCCCTCAGTCTCTGGCCAAGTGGCCTCTGCCAG